AATACTTTTAGTTCAGTTTCAAGCTTTTCTTTGTCAATCATTGGATATGCTTCAGTGGTAAGTATTATTTCTTCTGTAGGATGTTCATTCCTAAAACTAGCGAAGCATTTCTTGTTAAACAATTTAGCAGCTGCTAAGTGTTTAGTAGAAGAATATCTGTGCATTATACCAATATATAGTATAAAATCCCATATTTCCTTAGCTTCTGCCATCAGGTGTCTTTTAAAAATTCTCGCCAGTACTTTGAGTTTCTTAATTCTAAAATAGCAGTTTTGAAATTTGTTATAATTCATTAACTTTAAACACAGTAATTTCTCTGCAATTGCATATTAGTGCTTGTATATTATTTCAACATGAGGCATAATCTGATAAAAAAGCTCTAACCAGTAAACTTGAAATTAACTTGATCATTTATCATAATTTAGAAATTGCTGTCGCTAAATGCAATAGTTTGATCTGCATTTGATGTTGATTGAATTTTCAGTAAGGCAATTTTTTAAAGGTTGCAAATTTTCATGAACTCTGTCTATGGTCCGTATGATGAAGTTCCACTTTGTGGAGGAATACGACACGCGCGGAGTAAAAAGAAATCACGTTCCCAACAACACGCAAGAATTTCGGCACTGCAAGAGCGACAGTGCTTTCTCTCTCTCTCCGGCTCTGGCTGTTTTCGGTGCGCATGCTGCTTTCCAAACACCACGTGTGGAACTGGGAAGCATGCGCAGTTCCAAACAAAGACTTTCGTGCCTTTTTTACAACTGGGAGATGGCTACTGACATTAAGCTTAAGTATTATGTATTGTAAAAGTATAAAGAAAGAATTAAAGACTAAAGCGCACACTATATTCAATATTAAAAATTATAATAAGTGTAAATAGGGGGTGCTGCAGTTAAACAGTGCTCATTACGAGTCGCCACTGATTATGATTTTCATGACTTCACATTCTGAATTCTTCTCCTACGTCGTATTACTGCGAAACTTCAAAATTTCATGGATTTTGTACTATTTCATGCCATTAGATGGCGCCAGCATACCGTGCCTTCTCATTTTCGCCTGCTGAGAATAAATCATATCTCAGTTGGAAGAGATCAGAAATTTCACCGACTTCTGTGCCGCAGCCATTTTTTCTTTATTTATTTTTTTAAATTTTTTTAAAATTACCGCCATCTGCCAAGAGCATTCACGAATTACAGGTAAAAGCCGATATAGCGGAAAGCCTAAACACAATTATGATACAAATCCAAGATGCATATACCAAGATCTGTGTCACTGCGCCGCCGGAAGAGGTGCAACTATGCTGAGAAGTATTATTTCTTTAGTGAAGAGGTGCTGAACTCTGTTGCCACCTTTGGAAAAAACAGAAACATCCTGCGATAAATATTCACCGACTGTAAAAATGTAAACATTGCCGAAATGTTTTTTTTTTTTCCCACATATTTTCTTTTATTTCCGTACTTACACATTGTCGCAACCACCTTAAAGAAATCGCCAATTTTCAGAATGTGCCAAACTCTGGCAATCATGCTCATAACAATCCATCAGTCAAGCAAAGTCGCCATTTTCATCATTACATGCGTACGGTTCGTAACAGAAATTTCCAGTAGTTAGTTTTCTCCAAATTGCTGGAAGGCATACATACACGGTACATAGTGTTGGATACAATTACAGTTACACGTTGATCATCAAGTACAATTACACAGTTACACAGACAAAAATGACGCCAACTTGGCGTCTTTAGACAACTTCTCACCGATTGGTCCAGATAGCCATTTATCTCAGTATTAGATTTATACCTGTACCCTTAATTTTTCGGCTATTCTTGACATTCTAAAGCCTTTCAGACTTCGCTATGCATGAGATACTACAGTTTATATGTAATAATTTACTGCAGTTTATATGTAATTAACTTAAATGATTTACATGTATGGGATTATTTACTTCGTTTTAGAAAACTTAATATTAGGAGAACCTGAGTAGGGAATGCACCAATTCCCTTTTTAATCATGGCCGAGAAGACTGCATAGATGAAGACTGGGGAAAAAATGACAACTAGATTCACAGTTAAAACTTCATTTTTTTAACAGGAATAATTTTTTAGAAATACATTTTTTCTTAATTCATACAGTACTAGACGGGCTAAACGCCCACCACAATTTTGTATACGCAGTTATATTTGGTCAGTCCATAAATTCGTGCGCATCTTCTGGTAAATTTTTAAATAATATAAAAAAACACAGTTTAACATTTTAATCAATTATATATTTTCTTCCATCATCTACTAGGTCTCGCTATCTTACAGGCAGCTTTTTTATGCCATTGCTGTAGAAAGACTCTGGTGTTGATGCAAAAAAACTTGAGAGTTAATTTTGCACATCCTGTTTAGAATTTAATTTTTTTCCCGGTAAAAAATTTTGTAATGCACGTAATAAGTGAAAATCACTTGGGCAATATCTGGGGAGTAAGCAGGATGTGGCAAAAGCTCCCAATTAAATTCACTAATTTTATGCATCGTTGTTCGAGCCGTATGTGGTCTAGCGTTATCATGATGAAACAACACTTTCTTGATATTCACCAATCGTGAGCGTTTTTTAATCAATTCTGAGTTTAGACGGCAAAGTTGTTCACTGTAAACTTCTGAATTAATCGTTTGATTTGGTTCTAACAGTTGAACACGTCCTGCACGGGGTTCATCATCAATGCTGCTTTTCCCAACCTTAAATTTTTTAAACCATTCATCATGTTCACTATTAATTTTTATCTCTGCAAACCTAGCAGATTCACCACACGAAAATAAAAAATGTAGAACAGCACGTTTGTACTAATTATCTATATTCATCTTCTATGGGTACTAAAATGCGTTCGATATTTACGAAAGTTGGTGATGAACTGAATAATATGTTAGTCAAACGATGACAAGTTTCAACAAGTTCAAAATTGTATTGTTTTAGTGAATGTGTCATAGTGAATTCCACGTATACTCTTAATGCGCACGAACTTTTGGACTAACCCGATATTTTAGAACAATGGAAGAATGCGGTTGAGCGAAGAGATGCTTATATGTTTAACTTGACACATCTGTCTGGAACTTTATCATTTCATCTACTACGCAGCTGACATCAAACTACGTCTCTCTTACAATCATCTTGGTTTCGACTAAAAAAGTGATTGCATCATTTTCTCCAGTCAGCTCTCTGTTAAGTTCTAACAATGTACCACGACTAAGAAACTCTAAAATATCACGTGAATGCAGAATTCATAACATTATGCATTTTTAGTTGCACTTCAAGTTTCAACAGTTTTTATAGGCAAATCGTTATATTTTTTACTTAATTCAATTTTAAAATAAAGAGAAATTTGCCACCTATGAAATCTGCGAGACCTTACAGTCTGAAGGAATATATAGTATTTTGCCGAAACATCGCTAAAGGTAGCAATGATGAAATAAGTTTAGTAGATAGCCCCTGCGCAATGCCAAGTTTGTGCAACTCTGTGATTTTTTTAAACGAAAACAGATCGATGTGTATGGGGGGGGGAGAACAGCACGAAGAAATAGGGAAAGATTTTGAAAATATATAAACGCGTTTTTTTAATATATCATATAAGATTGGCTAAGTTGCGTTATCATAGATTAGTTCATGAAGAGCAGTTCTGTTTAAAGTGCAAAAAATTATTATCTATTCCCTTCCAAGTAATATTCATTTTAGTGTACAGACACACTCCAGCACTCCTGAGTTTCTTGTGTGGTGTAGTGGCCGAAACCGCCACACAAACCCGGGTTGTAATGAAGGGAGACTCAAGTTCTAACAATAACATGGATATAATAAAATAAAACATTAATAGTTGCAATTATTGACAGTATGGGACTTGGATACATTTAGTCCCGTAATTTCAGAATTTTGTTGCAGGAAAAATGCTCTATCGCATCATACACGAGGAATGATCGTTCTAGCAGGCCAACATGCCCATAGCTCCCAACAGGAAAGTTGTTGTCTCTTCTCAGGAAACCACCTTATATATCTCTCTGTGTTTACTTGCGCTGAACGTTCAAGGGGAAGGAAGATTTTTTCACTCATACCTAACAAAGTGTCCATCTCCTGACCCTGATGAAAAGACTTTTTTTACTTCTTTGTCCACTGGAGCGATCTTCGAGGCTGCATTCTCTTCTCAGGAAACCACCTTATATATCTCTCTGTGTTTACTTGCGCTGAACGTTCAAGGGGAAGGAAGATTTTTTTCACTCATACCTAACAAAGTGTCCATCTCCTGACCCTGATGAAAAGACTTTTTTTACTTCTTTGTCCACTGGAGCGACCTTCGAGGCTGCAACCGGAATCGTTAACAAAAGCACAGGATTTCACTGCGGATATGAAAATTATTCCACTCTGAAAACTCATCCTAGACAAAGAACCTTTATGCCACCTTATCACACCTGGAAGCACTTGTGAAATATCTCTTTTTACACCTGCCATAGACTGGTTGTCATGTTTTTTTAACTAACTTAAACTGCCAGAAAATGTTGACTTCCATAAAAACATATTAACAAAAAGAGCAGTAGATCAAGAAGGAAGAAATCTGACAAATATCTTGATTAAGATATAGCAGAAAACAGTTTTTGATAAAGGAAACCCACGGTTCTTCCCTCAAACATCCCTTTCACAAATTGCGACATCACACAGATTGATGATTTATTTCCGTTTATATTACACTACAAACTGTGCTATTTCGAAGGATATCACTTCATATCTTTCTTCTGAAGGATACCTTTCGACGTACGTACAGGGAGTGGACAGGTGCCCACTGACAGCCATATTTTAATAAGCTTTTCTTGCACTGCACCTTTTCGAGAATTTGAACAAACAGAAGATTTGAACCAAACAACGAAACTTAAATGATAGTTGGGCAGAAATAATTTGTGATATATCATACAATTTTCTTAAGCCCCTTTCTAATAAAACGCTATCTGTAACATATATATGCACATAGTTTTACAAAACAGTTGCTTCGGCAAATGAAGAAATTTTTTATTTTGTAGCAAAACTCAATATATAACTTAGAATATACTTATATTATAATACACTATCCGAGTCAGTACAGGACTTTACAACGTTATCATGCTGTAGTACAATATACAAAAGTTTTTATCATAAAAATTATGATATTTAAAAATATTTCAATAAATAACATTCCTTTAGGAAATTTGAAGCAGCAAAGTTTTTACAAACTTTGTACAATTTTATTTTCTAGAGCGTAGATGTCTTTCAACTTTTCTTCATATTCCAGATTTTCATCTATATCTGAAAAATAAATTTATTCATATTAAATTTAATAACTGAAAAAAGCAAAGTATTAAAATGTATGTGATGAAGTGTTAATGGATTATTAACTACTTATAATATGATATATAAATATTTATTATATCAAAAATATCTATTTAAAATTTTCAGAATGTCTAAGAAGCAAGCTAGAAAACACGTTTAATTCCGACTATATATATTTGCCACTGCCAAAAATTTGTCTGACATTAAATTGCAGTCTATACCTGTCAAACGTTTAGTATTTATTGAACATTTATTTACTAATTAACAAGAAGCCACATTAAATGGAAATGATACCCCTGATGTTAAATATCTGCAATTATTTTTGTTCTCAGAAATACTAATTGTTTTTAGCGGTCGTCCGGTGTTGCCATTTTTTCATAATTCTATCCCAGGCTATAAAACCCTTTCCATGGAAACGAATTCATGCACAAGGAAAGGCAATTTCTGTGTCCCTCTCTCTTTCCAGAACAGCACAAGGCTAAAATCAAAGTTCAAGGCTGGTCAGCAAACAGTACAGGTTTCCGTTCATTCCACTGAACATGAAAATGATACCACTCTAAACAGGCTTCTCTGGAAGATGAAATGAAAAGGACACAAACCATTGGTTTTCCTCACATAAATATGTACCAAACTCGCGAAGCCTTCGTGCAGCATCAGAACGGCTCAGCCTGAAAATTTAAAACTATTCTCATATAGTTACAAGATGCTGTCTTTGAGCCAGTTCTTTGAATGCAGTTGTTTCTCTTGCCCGCCCTTGCCCAGGCTGCTTACTACAAAATTACCGCTTCAAGGGCTGTTTTAAGCTCTTCAGCATCATTTTGAGCAGTATTCAGATCTTGCCTGACCTCCATTTATGTTTTTTTCCATCAAGCCTACCAATGCTCTTCCATTTTTGCTTTTCATTTAAATGAGACCTTTGAGTCATAACTAAAGAATACTGATTACTGTCTGAAACACGATTAACCATTAAATAACATTACATACTTGATTTCCAACGTATGTCCATTGCGCAAAACGCACGTGTCATGCTCTAACCTATGCGAAAGCCCAATTTTGCCCTGAGTGCAGATAATTAACATAAATTATTAAACCATTGAACTTCAGTTGAATATTGCGAGGAGAAAAGCGCTAAAAGCTAAATATTGAGATTCAAGAGATTAAGTTTCCTGTATATAAGTATTTGCATAGAATTTTTAATGTTTAAATAATCCCTTTGAGATTCTAATACGGTTAAAATTATTTGGTAAAAACTGTTTTAAAGTAAGCACTGTAATATATATCAATACACATGCATTGTTACGTATATGAATATAATTAAACATTATAATCACTTTAGTATGCCAATGTAAAATATGTGAAGCAATTTTAAATAGTTTTTCTCTCACCCAGACTAGTGTAAGATTATTTAATTTCCTCAGATAAACATGTTTTCTTTCCATTCTCTCAAATTAAATTATAATATACTTTTATGTAGAAATATTAAATGTACATGTTTCGTCGTCTCATATTTCTCCTCAGAGTAAAGAATAAAAGATAATATTGATTTTACGGTGCAGCTTTTCTTCACTTTATACAAATTGTATATCTCGAACCTGAAATTTGGAAAACAAAGTTTTGAAATTGCTATTATTATAAATCTTTGTTAGTGTTAAATTCATCATCATTGTCATTAAACGTGCTATTTGAAAGAAAAACACAACAAATTATCCTGAATATCGTGTATGATACAATTTTATGAATAGATGTATAACATTTTTATAATTCTTTTGCGTATGCTTTAACAGGTAAAATTATTCTCGTTAAGAGAATGAAAACAAAGACCCTTATAATTATATAGAACTGAACAAACCCTTTCTTGCTTACAATACTTTTGCATCTTGTAACAAAATATTTTTATGAAGGTGTGAGGATTTATTTATTTATTTTGACTAATAGTTAATTTTTAATTAAATTTTTCTTTTCACTCTCCTTTTCACCCATGCTTTCTATGCCAGTATACAAATTAGCGCGAGTTTATTCATATTAGGGGAGAAAGAAGTGCCATTTAAACGAAGGTTTCGCAAGTTGATTTTAGAGCGTGTTTTGCCTGCTTGAGGCCCCGTTGTAACCGTGACTAAATAGCGGTTTGATTCTGTGGCGCTGAGTGCTTCTAGCCGTTAAGCTTGTTCCGCCGACTTCTACGAGCCAGAGCCTTCCTGCGCGTTTACATTATCCTGTGAGCGTTAGTTGAGCCGTTACGCTAGTCTAAATTACATTTTATTTAAAATTCAACATTACTTGTTTTATGTTAAGCTTCTTTAGCAACATTACTTGTACTGACTAAGCAACATTACTTGTTTTATATTAAGTGTTGTTGGCTTATGTAAACCCAAGTGGGGTAGACTGTCAATTCTTTGTGATCGAATAAAAGGGCTATTTATACCCTTCTTCTGACTTTGCCTGCTTACTGTTAAATACCTGAGAATAATTCCTGTACAGTCTTTCTAGACCTTGTGAGTTTATGCCACCAGGAAACCAGACTCTATAAAGGATAAACTAGAAGTCATACTATCATATTCCACCGGTTGTGCATCACTACTGATCAGTGAAAGCATATTATGGTAGTATGAAACTGGCTATCACGCTAAAAAAGTGCGCATTTGAAGAATAATGGGTTGTGATGCGTTTTTTATATTGCTAATCTATCTTCAGAAGCAAATTGTAGAGGAAATGTAATTGCTGCATCCCGCTATGGTGTAATATTTCAACTTTGGAAAACATTGCATCAGTTCCCTGAAAATGTTCAGGCCTTATGAGTGACACCGTATTGTTCCATTGGGACAATATCAGGCCTCAGGCCGCACGTCGACTCAAAAGTGTCTTAGGGCAGCAATGCCGTTGCTCATTGAGCGTGTACGAATTATGATAGTGTTAATATCTTTTGAAATTGCCTGTAATGATCATTTGAACTAAAAAAAAGGCCGAATAACGATTGTTGGAGGAGTTAAAGTAACAAGAATCGGCATAATATTAACAGGATTCTTGTTGCTTTAACTCCCACAATGATACCAGTAATGATTTCTTGTTTTTCCATAGCAGTTTATAGTTTTTCCCTTAACTTTCTCTCGTATAAATCAAATTAAAAATTTCTACCGACGCACATCTTTCACATGATATTTATTCTTTCTTTCATTAGAATATGAAGGAACTGATACTGAATTAAAGAAAATTTTTTTATTTAAGAAAATGTTAAGTTTTCATAATTTCTAACTGATTAATTCAATTGAAATGGAAGATGATTATTTAATTGCTCAAAAACGCTTTTATGGAAAATATAACTTTTTACCACAATGCTCTGTCTAGCTGATCGGAAGCTGAATAATTGTTATTGGAATAATTCGGTTTCAATACTGATGTATGAAACTAGAAGAAAAAATCATGCGTAGATGTGACATATTTGCAAAAGAATCAAATTAGAAATCTAATTTTTTACTAACTGAGAAACAAAACTTACCTCTATTTTTAATGTCATGATTTTCTGTGAAACAAATGCGACGTGCGTAAAGGTAAATTCCGTATATTACTGAAGAAATCAGGCAAATAATGGCTATGACTCGATATGCAATCCTACCTCCAAAGGAATCCATTATTAGTCCACCAATCAAGCTACCTGAACCTTTGCCTATGGAAAAATTAAAACATAATTTTGAGATAAGTCTCATTTCTTCAAACAGTAAATGCAAAAGAGCAAATACTTAAAAATGCAAAAATCGATTTCATGATTTGTAATATATTTGTTCAGATTTCATCTTTACATCTGTACCTGTGTCTATACTCTGTCCTTATTATGTTTGTATGCCTAACATGTAACATAATAGTGAAAACTTTTCCCACCACCCCAGTCCCCACCATGCCCTTTCTATCCATGTTCTGGTCCTTCTTTCAGTATTCCTCACTTGAAGTAGTCAATACGCGAAGCGCTAAGCTGTAAATATAATCAGCTCCCGGAGGACACAGCACTAAGCTCTAAATGTTACCAATACTCGGAGAACACAGTACCAAGCTCATTTTTTTAAAAAACAAATTCCATCGACGAGATTCAACAGGCTGAAGAGCACCTAACCCAGTACGCCAGCTGTCCTGGCGAAAAGAAAGGAAACCATCATTTAGATGATTTATGTATGTACTGTATTTTCTCGATTCTAACTAATTTTCCATCGAAGTAATCATGGGAAAATTCTGAGGAAAACTCCATAGGGTTCAAAATTATTGGTCAGTGGTAGTACTAACATTCTATAATAATGATAATAACAGTTGTACTCAAAATGAATAATATTTGAGATCACTGTGTCCTAAGACGTGTCCAGTTAATTGTGAGACGACCGAAAAATGTTTGTATGCACCTGATAAGACAGTCTCCTTTGTTAATAATTAAGTGCAACATTTAAATGTTTATAAAGTATTTCTAAACCCACTATCAAGACAAGTATTATGTTAGACAAGTATTACGGGCGCCACTTGCTTATTCTTGTCCAGTCTTTCTTATCTTATCTAATCATTATTTCCTATGTTGTTCATTTGCGGTTTTGCAGCTGAGGATGGTGGTTCGGTAAAACCATCGAAACTAGTCCTGTGAAAATTTTGTAAATATAATGCTGATTTGTGTTGTTTGACTTCTGAATAAGTATTATGTTAATTATGTAGAAGAGATGTATGCCAATGTAATATATAAAATTAGTCGAAAATACAATTTTAGATTTGTGAATGTACTTTTTTTTTTTTTTTTTTTTTTTTTTTTTAGATTTCGAGGCCGATTGCTATGCTTCGCCCTTTTAATGTAGGAAAAAAGTCTACATTTGTTATAGAAGGAGGAACTATGACGGTTACTTTTGACATGGAATTTTTATGACATTTACGCTAGTATAATATCATTGTTAGGCCAAAGGAGCTTTAGCTCAAAAGGGTTATTAGTCTCGAAACGGGATTTTGCTTTGAATCACTTTTCAAACTGTTGCTACCAAATATTATCGCCCTGCGTTATTAAAAAAAATTAAATAAAAGAGAATGTGCAGGAATGTAGGTATGTTCCTCGCGTTGTGAAAAAACTACGATACCTAGAGCCATCAAATTTTGAATAACGTAATCTTTTAACCGGACATGGACATCTGAAAGCCCGAATTTTGAATTTCGAATTTATTTTATTATCTATTTCACATTTCTTAAAACTTTACAGGATTTTCTCAACTATTTCAAAGCAACACTGCACCGGAAAAAAAAAAATATATATCCCCAAACGCGCAAGACTGTCTCTCGGAAATTCTAAAGATATGTTATTTTTAAATATTTTGTGATATTGCTGTTGAATTGAATTTTATGTGGTTTGAAAGCAAAGAATATAAAGTTTAATGAATAAAGGTAAAACACTTTAATTTTTTAGAATCGCTGGGATACATACCTATACTGTAATGGATACCTCCAGCTGTAGAAATAACAGTCGCCGTCAGACCTTCGGGCGCAATTTCGTGACTATGCAAGATTACAGCAACCCACAAGAGGTGATAAGTAAAAATTGAGGTTACTTCTAAACACAGGGAGTACCAGGGGTCAAACAGTAATGAATATCCTATTGCGCTACAAACGTATGCTAAAAGTGCTAATATGAATATGTTGGGAGAACCAATTTTCTGAACCCACCATTTAGAAGTCATTAGGAATGGAAGTCCATACAGGCCACTCACTGCTGGAATCAGACCGAATAAAACACCTGGTGTATTAAGCTCTGTAAGGAACCAGTTGGTAAAATTCTTTGTAAAGTTCCATGTAGTACCAAGAACGAAAAGAACACAAATAAATGAAATAACATCGGCATTTTTTAATAGATTCAAGGTTTTCCTCCACATATTTTTACCCGGTGGAATGATTTGCACTTTTAACTTGTAAATAATTGCTAAAACTATTATGCACATTCCGATGAAACAGTAAAATGCGGATGCATAGTGCTTTTCCTCACCTGGAGAAGTGTTTGCATCTACAATGTACCCAGCAAGAGGAGAAAATATCAAAACACCAAGAATGGAAAAGAAACGCTCATGACCAAAATCGGAATTATATTGTTTCACCAAAGACATTGCAGTAACGTCGAAAATGCGGTAGCAGGTAGTAAATGTAGTGAGAAAAAGTATGAACAGCACCACGTTCGCAATCAACAGTTTCCATCTTGATCCTCCTTCCCGATTACATTTTTCTTCTGCAAAATATGAACAGTTTATTCTGCAATACATTTTATGTGGCACATTGCACCATGAATAAGTTCTATTTTTGTGTGTCAAAGAGTGAACATTATAAAAACATTTATTTTTTATTTTGAAAGTCCCATTCACGTGAATCGACAATGAAAAATTTCCAAATTCTTGATTCCTCGCCAAAATTTCGCAAATCAGATTTCGTCCAAAGCAGTATTGAGTAACATTTTCGGGACACTGAACGCTGCAAGATGAGACTTCGATGATATCTTCTTCGATGTCGCAGGCAGATCTTGCAATTAGTCTGTCGAATTCTAGATAATGGCACTTGAGATTTAACGGCTGTGGATTACAACTCTCAGGATTCATTCTTGGCATCAACAGCATGCCAGCAACAGCTAGCAGGGTGATTATGAGATTTCCTACTAGAACGGGCTTGGATCTGCCCAATTTGTCCGCTATTATTCCAGATACTGCTGTTCCTAGAAATTGGGCGAAGGGTGCTATCATAAATATTGTTGAGAGTTCTGACAAGGCAAGACCACGTTGCTTGAAGTAGACTGCAAGAAAGGAACCAATAATGGACCCAGCTGTTGAAAAAAGAAATAATACATTACTTTTACATAGGCTGAGAGAATGTGAGTACATTCAAACATACAAAGTTATTGATGTTAGAGGTCATACTTTAGAGTTAACAAACTCAGTATTTCTGCGTTGTTTCACTGAAGAGCCCTATTAATTTTTAGTGAATCTTCAGCAATTTTCTGTTATGTTTCTTACTAATATTATTATTTAAGTTACAATGAAATTATTATATTAAATGAAACAGCCTTACTTGAGTAATTTTAATCGAAATACCAGAATAATGTGTTACCTCATTAAGCATTGTCAAAAAGAAATTTGAAAAGAATAATTCTGGCGACATTTGAAACGTGTTCGACTTAATCATACATTTTAAGTTATATGATAAGTTTCTTTTGCTAAAATCATTCAGTTCGACTTCCTGAAAATTTAATATTGTGAAATCTGAAATTTAAATTCATGGAGTTTGAGTCTGAAAATTTCGAGTTGATGTGTTCGAATACTCGAAATTCTGATGATCAGTATTCGCACCCCTTAAAAACTTTATGTAGTAAATAGCATTATATAAGATTCATTTCTCCAAAACATTACTATTCCTTATCCAAACTCCTAGTACTTTTATCTCCTGTTTCTTGAGGGTATGAGTAGTCCATGTTAGAAAACCGCAGCAAAAAATACAACTAATCGTAAAGAAATACGATGAATTTGTCTCTTCAGAGACAAACATTATATTTTGCAATGAAAATTAGAAAGGGCATTTTCTTTTCCTATCATTTTATTTTTATTATTGTTATAGTTCTCGTCAACTCAATATACAGGATTTCAAAAAATTCCTTCTCATATTTAAATTAACTTTAACATTTTAAAAAACAAAGTTACTTCAGTAAAGGTTTTTCTTTATCACATACTTTAATGGTCTTAGTTGGCAACTCTTGAAACTGAGAGGGCCACGTCATCCCAAGATGGCGCAAGAAATCGTACATTGGTGTGTCGAAATGCAGCGGCGTGTTGTCAAAATGTTCCCTAAATGTAAATCCCATCAAGAAATATTACGTAAATCGGAATTATCATATTTAAGAAACAGGAACGAAGAACAGCCTTGCTTGCACTCTGTTAAGAGTGAGAAAAGACCTTGTCATGTTGCACACAGATGCTGTGCAGCCATCAGCCTCGAAAGAATGCAATATCAGATTATCCCAAAATTCTGGATTTTTTACACTTGCAACTCCAGCAGCCTTGCGAAGTATCTTGCTCCGTCTCCCCTCGGACAACCTTTTTACGCGTGTCGTCGGTCGACTATTTCACGGTAAATTCTCGTCACATATTGCATCCGGAAACTTTGAAGGCCACTTCTTGAAGCTTTGTATGTCCGGAGTCTTTGGTAATACATTCTTCTAAGCTGATAAACCTGAATGCCCGATTTCCGACCTGAGCTCTTTCCTGAATATATGCCATTTTGGAATTATGTGTTTCTCTCAGCGTGCTGTGTTGCCTGCTAAACTTGGAAACTAATGTTAGTACAAACTTTATTTCATTGAAATACCGGTGTCCGTAACATAGTGAATTTAAATTTGAGAAGGACAAATTTTACACTGAAATATCTCTGTTCGTAATATGGTGAATTTGAGTGTGAGAAGGACTTACGTAAAATCATGCATTTGAGAGATTAACTTTAAAATAGTAACTGTTACATTACTTATGAGCAGGAAAAATGCGATTTCTTTTCGAGATTTCATGGTATTATACTTCCCGTAACTTTTTATGGGTTTGAATGGTAACTTAGAATACGCAAAAAATCCTCAATTTGTAAGCAGTTATTAAATAAAAATATACCAGTAAACATAAACAATAGTTTTAACGCATGGTCCTTTATTATAATTCCAGTATTATTTTATGCGAAACATTTAGGAAATATTAGAATTTGTTATGGGAGTATACAATATTCCTGTCCCTTTAACAAACTGAAGAAATTTAAAAAATAAGTTGAGTATATACTGGATAAATAAATTTAGTGTTGAGTCTATATTGGAGTACATGCCATATATGATTGTTATGTTTTACATCTAGACCTTTCAGGTTTTATTATATTTGCTTTAACTAAGAATAATGTGCTTAATTACCTAGTGTTTTATGATGAGTCAAACTGCAGAAAGGTGGCATTCTCTTTTCTTAACAGATATATTACTAGAAATATCAGTACCTTTATACATACACTTACCAGCCAAAATATAACCACACTCCTTATAATGCGGTGCTCTACCTCTGGCACCAGAAACGTCTTTAATCCTATCTAGTTCTAAGCTCGCACTCGTTTAGTGTTAAAGAATAAGATTAAAAAACTCGAAACTCGATAGGCTTGAAATGCGAAGCGTTAAGAAGGCAGGACATCATTTGTAATTTCTCAAGATTTTTCAATTACTATTTTAGACAATTTCGGCCACGTGACAAGAAAAGCTGTTTTGCTGAAAGGTTTGGTTTCTAGTAGGGAAGGAGGAAGGCTTAGAAATGATGTTCATGCAATCTGCAGCTGTCGTGTTGTATACTTGCACAGCCATCGGTTCCAGGGTGCTTAGGAGAACGGTTTCCAGAGAGCAATATGCTCGCCACCGGCTTGTTTACGTCTCGTGGTATATGAGCAATCAAAGTTTCGTCTGGAATATGACCTATCCTGACACGGCCATCAACTTGATATAAAGCAAATCGTAATTCATCGGACCAGACAGCACTTTTCTTTTGTTGTATACTCCAGTCATGATGTTCACAGACCCACTGTAGTTGCAAATATCGAAGTTGCTTAATTAACAGAGGTACATGAGAGGAGCATATTTTGCAGAATCTCGCATCTACCAGAATCTAATAAATTCTGTGCATAGAAAGACTTGTATTTGAACCTGCGTTGCATTCATGTTTTTACTGAGCTTATACTTGATCTTATACCAGCGTCTATTGCTGGTATCACTCACTGTTCTTCCATTTTGCATGAGCTTATACCTAACCTTGTTCACTGTTTCATTACTTTGACCTTGTTGCTCGACCATTCATGAGCTTAAGCCTGACATTGCTCATTGTTGCCTGAGCTTCACCACTAGGGTTTTGCGCCCCCGTGAATCGCCTCTAGAGGTGTCATACCATATTAAGGGCTGTTTCGCAGCTTAGGTCTGGGAGTCTCTACCTTCTAGTGCGCTGTTGACTGAGCCATATACGTCTGTCTATCTACCTTGACGAAGCACTCCGATGACCACATTCGCATATCAGGTATGGGTAGTTAACGCTTTGGAGCCTATTACTGGCATCACTGTTCTTCTATCTCTCACAAGTGCTAGAAAAGCAACTCACGGACAGTCGATAAACAGTGCCATTTCGCAGATATTCGATCCTAGCATGTTTACATTATAATCTGGATGCAGTGTAGAGAGTTCTTACAGTGTAGAGGTGGTTATAATGTCTTCGCTGATTATTGCATATCAGTATATGAACTTCCATGCAATAAATGATTTTGACTGACTCCCTAGAATGTTTGAAACAATTGGTTGAGAAGGTGAAGGTAATCTTTAATCAAAAAATTATACGATCACAAGTGCTATAAACTTATTATGTATCGACTTGGCTTTAGGCATATTTCTAACTATCTGTTCAGTTCAATGACAGGAACGGCAAGTAACTTTGAATAAGTTGCAAGTGCGATGTTTTTTGACTGAAGCCCTAGAATATTTAAAACACTTGATTCAGAATATAAAACTATGCTGTAATACAAAACTATGCGCTCACAACTGATATAAACTGGTTTTATTGCAAGTACCGGACCAACGCACATGTAAACATGTGCATCAGAATAAAATCTCTTTTTCCTTGGAGTAAGAAAGAAACGTTTCCTGTAGCTTAATTGCCGAATCGTCTCATGCCTCGTGGGGAAAGGTGATTCAAAGTAAACGTTGACTTGAAAAAACATTGCTTTGAGATAAAATGTTCCTTTGAGCGTGACTTTCCAAAATAACCAGAAGAGCTAAAATTAAAAACATGTTGAAATATATAGTAAACAAATTCGTTGTGGGAGGCGAGATAGCAGTAGCTTTAAAAAACTTGACTTAGATCACTGCATTTATTGATTTATTGATCATTGACCACGACTTGGTTTACGATAACGACATTTTATTATTTAAACGACCCTTGGACTGCTAAAAAAACAAAACGTACAGAGACTGTCTACTACGCCTAAACTTACCAGACGCTTCGTCTGTTTTTCGCTGTGTGAAGAAAAGCAAAAACGGAAAAAAAAAAAAAAAAATCTATTTTTTGGGGCATTGTAGAAAAAAACGTGAGTCATAATTTTGATTGCTGCCTGCTGGTATTTGGTTTAAAAAAGTGGTGGCTGGCTGCTGAACACTATAAGAAAATGTGAGGCGCGTTCGTGTGGGAAGTCAGTTTTAGTTAATACTTAGATTATTAAAGATATTCTCGAAAAGGAGAACAAAATTATGAGGCTGTGAAAAGGCAGTTAAAAGAAGGAAGGAGAAAAGCTAAGTGAAGTATTTTAATGAGTTTTAACAACAGGCAGAAGATCGGAGAAAGGAAAAGAAGTGCGGATGTCTTATAGCAGTGTGGAAATAATGGTGGACAGTGACAGGAGTAGGACAGAGAATATTGGAAAGAATGCGCTGGATGGAGGAAAATTTACTGAAAATGTATCGGCCTCATGTATGATGAACTGTGAAATTGAATAGCTACAGAGTGTTCGTTGAAATGCTGTCCAAAACTATTATTCAAAATGTTATGACAGAAAAGTACGTGAAAGTATCAATTCCAAACTTAGCGACTGAAGCGTATCGGCTTCCAACTGTTACGTTGATGCCACGATCTGTGTTGTATTCTTATCGACGATGTGTTCAGCGGGGCGAAATTCTGATTATATTCCATTTGAATGATGATTTATAGAAAGGCTATTCGAGACGGACAAGAACACGGACGTGTTAATAGCATTCTAAGATGAATGAGAACCTTGGTTTCCGACTATGACGAATGTATGATGATCCGGGCAATGTGTCTCTGCCTATGATGTGTTCTGGATTTCTGAATTTTGCTCACATAAGCACTCTTCACCTCGTCTTAGCGTTTGGCAATGAATGTGTAATCCTTAAGGAAGAACTCTCATTCACTTATAAGTAAATGAGAGTTATGTGACTGTTACGAATTTTAGGAGCATTTTATCATATAAAAGACTGTCATATTTATATGTGTGTAAACTTGAGGATCACCTTCGGAATTACTATTACTATGATTACTATTTACCTTTTACTATGATTTTATATTATTCTAAAGAATGTAATGCATTAGATATTGACCTATGTACGTTTAATGTGACCTTAAACTATTAAAAATGTGTCTGGGACATACATGTTATTTAAATTTTCTCTCTAACATGTTAGAGCTTAATTCTAACTACTTTATTGAACTGAATTTAGGTTGTAACATTAACATACTTAGTTATTAGAAGAACCTAGATTAATAAAACTCAGAATTGTTTAATATTTTGAAACTGATAACATGTTCATGAAACTAACTGCACTACAAACATGACAGAAGAAAAACAATCAGAAAAATTTCTCACCTCCAAACCAAACGAGCAAAGCCAATTTCAAAGGTATGAGAGGCTTGCATATACTTATTTTATAATTTTTGCATATTCTCCACGTTATATGTGAATTTTCCTGAAAAAAATGTGTAATAAAGTATTTAAGATATGAAACATTACTTCAAAATCAAAATAAATGAAATTATTAGTTATCAATGCAAAACGTTAAATGATTGTCACTGATCAAATTTGCACACATGAATGAAAATATTTATGAATGATCGATAATTATAATCAGGTATATTTAGAAACAATTAAAACTTCTGTACTAATTGTACTTTATACTTCCAGTAGGACACAAACGTACATTACTTCCTAGGCATATTAATCCCATTATTGACTGAGTGGTTAAGATTGCTGAATAATTGGAATCTGATCTGTTTTCAAATTCATGTGAACAGAGTGGCCGCACGGATGGTTCCTAACGTTTAACGAAAACGAAAGACATTTTCCCTTAGAAGCACCTTTTCGAAAGCATCCTTTTCCCTAGGCACATAGCCTTCTTACTATTTTCAAATAACATTGCGGTTATACAAATTGACAAACAACAGAAATAGCACTCCGCTAACCTGAGGGTAAAAATAACAGCTTCGAAGATTCGAATTCCTCATAGTATCAAATTACGGGGGCTGTCTAACCTCTATATGTAGTTGGCATATAGAGGTTTGGGCATCACTTGATGACTACTAATCAAGATTTCAGCTATTCTGAACCTGAATCTTTTGTTTGACAATTACTTTTGTGAGCTGATGTGACCGTTTTTGCAAAAATAGAAAAATCGAGTACCGTGCTGTCATTAGATACTTGTTTTTGAAAGGTAATAAAAAAGGTAGTAATTAAAGAGGAGTTGGATACAGTGTACGGGGACTGTGCATCAATCATTTACTATTGTGAAATTTTGGGCAGCTGCATTTAAACGTGACCGTACCAACTTGGGTGACGATGAAAGTTCAGGACAGCCAAAAACATCAACCACTGATGAAAACATCGCTAAAATAAACCAAATGGTGTGAACGACCATGGAAGTAAATTTAGAGAGATCGTAGAGGCTATTACCATATCCAAAGAATGTATTTGCCACATATTGAACCAAGATTTAGATATGCCCAGTTGGCTGCACGTTGGGTACCGCGTTTTCTTACTTTGGAACCAAAACGTGTCCGAATGAGCATTAGCATCGTTCTGTTGGCGAAATAAATCGGAGATCTTTCGACTCTTAATCACTGTAGATAAAACCTGGATTCATCATTACAGCCCAGAAACAAAAAGGCACTCAAAACAGTACAGTGCAAAAGGAGAATCGGCTCCAAAAAAGGCAAAATTTTTCCTTTTTCTGGGAAAGATGGCAACCGTTTTCTAGGGATTATCTTGATAGATTATCTTGAACAGGGAAAAGCCATTATAGGAGCATACTATGCGACGTTACTTGACAAGCTGAACGCCACATTTTCAAAAGAAAAAACAAATGTTTCACCAAGACAATGCTCCGTTGCTCCGTCTCACACCTCATCGGTTGCAGTGGCGAAAATCTATGAATTACGGTTTGAACTGCCTGACCTTCTGCCCTAGTCACCATACCTGGTACCAAGTGTCTTTTTTGCTTCTTAAGTTAAAGAAGCGCGTGGAGGACAAAGATTTTTTTCAAATTAGGACTTTTTGCAGAGAAAGATTCCACATATTATTTGGGCGAGTTAAAAGGATGGGAGCATCGGTGGAAGAAATGTATAGACTTACAAGAAGACTATGTCGAAACGTAAAGGTAATTTTGGAGAAAAAATATTATTTTTCTTTGTTAGGTCGGAAACGTTTCAGACAGCCTACGTAAATCGACTGTAGTATATACCATAGTCACAAAATTTAACCTAAAACATGATTCCCCCTTGACTAATTATTCGCAAAGAAAGTTTCCCAAAACCTTTGCCGGCAAGTTAGATACAATAATAGAAATCTAAAGTAGAATAAAGGTCAGCTGAACAAACACTCTCTGATGAATTTTGAAATTAGTAGCTTTTATATATTTCAAATTAATCAGCGTTCTGGAGGAAGTTGACGAAAGTAAAAGTTATAGAAAAGCCGAAAATAATCTGAAAGCCTTCAGATTTTATATTATGCCCAAAGGGGCGTTTGTTTAACGTTTTGTGCGTCACCTTTATTTCTTAAATGTCATATTCTTCGCACTTAAGCAAAAGAATTCAAATCAAGAGCAATATCATAAAATATTTAAAAATAGCATATCTTTAGAATTTCTGAAACACAATCTCGTGCTGGAGATAAGAATGTTTTTTCTTTCGTACAGTTTTGTCGTTGCTCGCTTTCAAAACGTTGAGTTTATTAATCAAAATTCGTTAAAATATGAAATAGATAGTAAAACATATTACAAATTTCGGCTTCCAGATGCCCATATTCGAGTGGAGGACTATGTTATTCAAAATTTGATTTCTCTAGGTACCGTTGTTTTTTAACATTGTGAGAAACATACATGTATTCACGCAGATTCTTCATTATTTAGTTTCTTATATAATTCATGGCTATTTGGGGCAACTATCTGAGACGTGAAACGCCGTCTTATAGTAAACAACGCAAAATGGCAAAACGAAATAAATTGCCCTTCCCGGCAAATTGCCTTTTTGAGCTATTAGTATGATCAGCGATTAATTAAAATATAAATCTTACACATATGTGATAGCTTCGAAAGCAGAATAAAGATTTCCGTGTGCACCAAACGAGTGAAAATACTTAATGCTGTATTGTACTTTAAAATTCCTCTGTTTTTTAATGATTGATAGTGCATCTCAGCATAAAATATTAAAAAAAAATATTAGTCAGATAACCATCAATCTCTCTTCATTGACAACTTAACCTCTTTCCTTATCGAAAGAGGATAGTGCCTGTCGCCTTCAAAATGAGAGCATTGTTGAAGATAGTACTGAAGATAAGTGTAAGTGTGGTAATTACACTTTCATCAGACTTATTTATCTTGATTTTAATTCTAAAATATCAGTTTGGTAATCTTGAGTATGGAATTCCAGAAATGACTAATCACTTGTTTTTGAGGGCAATAGAAACAATTAAAAAGAATTTATTATTCAGGCATTTAAAAATAGAAATGTCCGCTTAGTGTTCTTAATTAAGGATATTTCAGCTATCCAAATACACCCTGTTATAAAAGTTATTATGTCAAACACCACTGCCGAAAGAAAAATTTGTGTCGTTGCTTTTTGAAGTTTCGAAAAACAAAAATAATTATATCAAAATTAAAAACTAACTAACTAAATAAATAACTTTTTTATAGAATACTAAACTTTTATTAAAAACTCATAGAACAATTATTGGACCAAAAGGAGGAAATAAACTAATCATATGGTTTAATGGGGACAAGAGGAATAAATTCAATGTGGGGGAATCAAATTCACTGTGGATTTAATGGGAAGAAGAGAATTAAATTCAGTGTGGGGAAGGGCAATTAATAAATTTATAAAAATAATGGCTTATACTTTTAACAGTGCGGTTTCATTACTTAGGTGCCAAGCTTTTATCATTTGTAATATAAAAATACTAAATTCTGAACAAGTTAAAATCCAAGGGTTGTGAATGATTTGTGAAGATAGCTTCTTCCTCCTCCAACTATAAAGCAAAAGTATATTGAGTCATCCGGAGAGTATTCAGTCTCATTCTTAACACAATACCTAAGAATAAATTATGCCACAACACATCATATAATTACGCAGTTTTAACGTAAAAAGCAGTATTTACTTATCTGCGTCAATTGAGATCACTGCTTATCAGCTGTAACAAAATAAAACTAAGAAAACGCACCTCAATTTGAGAAACCGTAGAACTTTAAGGATGACCCAACAGAATGAATTTCGAGTTTAATCTCAGGAAATCTGAAATTCTGACACAGAATAAAAAGCAGAGTTTATAGAATCGCGAAATAAGGTAATGATATATTTAATTGGAACAATGTATGTTTTTCTGTAATTAAAAATATATTTAGGGCGTAAATATGAATTTACTCCATTGTTTTCTGTAGTGCACTTACAAATTCTTTCGACGTACATACGCAAGGTAAACAGAAATATTTTTGAACAGATCATTCGCTACACTAGAAAATTCAATAAATTAATTTTAAATAGTGCTAAACGTCAAATGAAAAATTTACATATTTGCTCACGATGCTGCGTTTCCAGTAAAACTGTCACATTTTGAAGATTTAGTGAGAACAAAGTGAAGAAAGAGTTTAATAACAGGAAATGCAAAATTAATTTACAGGAATATATAAGTAATAGGTGTTTTTTCATTTATTATCTTTTGAACAAGTCATTTTAATGCAAATAACTCTCTTTATTACTTGCCTTCATTCTCCTTGAATAACTGACGGACAGCAGATAAAATTTGTGTTTAATGTGAGGTCTGATTTATTACGTCTGGGTACAGTTTAGTTAAGTAATTCAGTCGTCATCTATGTTTATTGAAGATGTAGTTATGCTATTCTAAATTAATTCATTTTTGAAGGATTTTTGTTTTTTACATTAAAGGCGGCTTTTCGTTACTTTCGCAGCAGCTGACAGTTTTAATACACGATTCTCGTTAATATTCAATTTATTTCAGAGAAAACATGTTTAATTCAAAGAACTTCAGCGATTTAATTTAATTTGCATTTTATAAAAAACTACAGTAATATTTTCTTTGCAAAAAGGAAATTAACGTTGAAAAAGTGTTCAAGATTTTCTCAGGTAGGATAATCTTATTAATGTTATTGTTGTGATTTACCTCGCTTGTCTGACAGTAACATTAGCACAAAACCACAAAAATCATTGTGGCGAGGATTGCAAGATTGCGCCTGTCGCTGGCAAGAGCCTTGAGCACTCTACAGGTGACAGTATGATTTTGCTCACTTCCGGCCCCCAGTTTTGATGGAGAGCGCCCCTAAAGGACGGGTCCAAGGAGCTCCTACCTCTCTTCTCCTACTACCGAGCTCTCGAGAGGACTTTTCGTTCGCCTTAGAGTGCTCGCATCCCGCACAGACACTATGCATTTGCAAACATCCATTGCTTCTCCAGGATTCGAACCCGGGTCTTTCGTTACGGCAGTCAGAGTCACTAACCACTATCCGGCTGCGTGGTATCTTATTAATGTTTACTGTTGAAACTAATCACAACCTGATTTGATGTATCCTTCATACTTGATCCCTTATACTTATATTTTTGGAAGCTCTGTTTAATAAACGCTACTAATAGGAAATAAAAATTCAACTGAATTAGAAAACATACGTGTGTTAAAGCAAATAAATTATTCAGCTGAAAATTTGCTTGATATATTTTTATTACACTTTAAATGTAGGTATAAATTTTGGAAACAAGCACTTTTTATGAAAAGAACTAATTTATCAATTAAAACTCCCTTCTATCCACGTTTAATTTACTAATTAACGTAATAAACAGAAATTATTAGGAATTTTCTAAAATAGAATAACTTATATTACTAACAAATAATGATAAACTATGAAAATATTTTTATAGTTTACTTACAACTTCTGTATTTACATTTTCTGGTACTTCTTTCTTTTCACTCGTGATGTCAATTGCTGGAAGAGCTCCATTACATCCGTTCGTGTCATCCTGTGAACTGAGGTCTACATTTTTAAAATCCGTATCCACAATAGACTGAGGCTGCTCTTGGTTAGAATCAATCATTTTATCTGTCAGTGAATCTCGAACAACATGTTTAGAAACTCTATATGGGTTAAAACATACTGCGGGAAACCTAAAAGTAAAATAATGTAATAATTAATGATTAATTCTATTCAGTTCTATTATCATTTTCTATTTATTCTATTCAGAGAAACGTTAAAATGTAATTTTTCGTACAGGCTGATAAAGACTAAAAAAATCATACATTTTATGCTAACGAATAAAAATATTCATTATGGATAAAAATGGAATCTGAGGGTTATAGATTGGTAAAGGAAACATCAAAATATTCCAATAAGCATAAAATATTTTTAACACGCAAAATTCATATGAAACATTACTACTGAAATGGCAAGTTTTCTAAACCGGAGACAAATAAGTTAAGATTTGTAATTCCGGGGAAAATTTTAATAATTTTGAGCTTTCGAAATGTGATTATTCTAACCAATGTATTAGTCAAATTAGTCACTTTGACTGTTACACTGGCTAGAGTAATATTTAGTTGATATACTTACCTACTAGTTCTAGTTGGAGATTAAAAAAAATGTCCGTTATAGAGATTACATATTTTCTCATGGCAGAATTCAGTGATCAAAATATTTGGATTTATTTTTTTGGAAGAAGCTGTTGGTATTATACATAAAGTTCGATCTGATAATATTTTGAGATGAGGTTTCTTTTTCGCTCTTCGCTGTGAATTATGCTTATTGACTGCAAACAATAGCATATAATAATAATTATATGCTATTGTTTGCAGTGAATAAGCATAAGCTGTTGGTATTATACATACAGTTCGATCTGATAATATTTTGAGATGCGGTTTCTTTTTCTTTCTCCGCTGTGAATTATGCTTATTGACTGCAAAAAATAGCATGTAATAATAATTCATATCATTCATAGATAAACAAGTAAAAGAAAATGAGACGTTTATTAATACATAAGGGAGATTCTCCATTTTGTAAATTGGCATTCATACCAATTTTTTAGTTCTGGTTAATAAAATTCCCGCCATTTTGTTCTAAAGAATTTGATTACTAATAACGAAACAGGTATTTTTGATACTTTTAAGTACTAACTTTTAAGTCATATGACTAATCTCTGAGAACTGCATGCTTAAAAATAATAACCGTTTACAAGCATATTTAAAAGCTTTTATTTAGTTCACTCATGGAGATTGTCGCTATGATCACAAGCCTGCCATCAATTTTTAAGCTACTTCCTGATAAGATTGTAGAGACATTAGGTATGTTTTCATGCGGGAAAATGAGCAATGTCCTTGCCTTTAAATTTTGGATTAAAATTAAGGAATAAAGAATCTATCTTTTGTCCTATTCCATCTCATTTTAGACTAAAATTAAGGAATAAAGAATCTACCTTGTGTCCTATTCCATCTCATAGATTTTCTTTTGAGATTAGAACACCAGAACAAATTGATATCTGAAAACGCGGTGCTCAAGATGAACGCATTCATTAAGTCTTGGGTTCCGTCAACATCAATGGTTGAATACTAGTAATTTGACCCAGGTACGAACCCAGACGAGCGTGCTGGCTGCGTGAATAATTTTCGTGGTTTTTCCTGTAAGGTAGGAACCAATTTCCTTCATAAAGTCTTTCATAAAGGCATCCCTCCCTTTAGGTAGATAGCCTTTGTCTGCTTTGCGATATTTAAATAACCTATCATCACATTCTGGACAAGTGGTATGTCTAGTAACTCCCAAGCTTGCCGAAAGTGACTTGCTAAGTTTGAAAAATTGACCTATGTGTGAAATATATAAAATAATGAGAAACATCATCTGCTAAAAGAACTAAATATATATGTTTTTATTTTTAAGAACGAGCTTTTAATGTCTTTGACTTTTTTGCAATATGATATCAAAATGTTATGAAAGTCTATTCCAGAAATGAAGAAAACAGCTTGTTCCAGAAAAGATACTCGAGGAATCATTCCATTGTTATTTCCAGAAAGTATTGCAAATGGAATATACAGCTAACAATTTGGTTTCCATTAATCATTTTTCCAAGTCATCAGCTAAGTCACGCTGCCGCCTCTCAATTTCCATTTTACTTACCGAAGAGTCAACATATAAATACAGAATTAATTAAATTTAAATTAACTAATTGTATGTCTACCTTCTGTTATGAATATCTAAATGGTTGCCTAATACTGAACGCAAAAAGTATCGTATATCAGTTGCTTTCGCCCTTTTTGAATATTACTTGCTACTGAATGAAACTCATAGTTAGAGTTTTGTCCTATCGTATCCATATTTTATTTCGAACTTGAGCTGTTGCGATTACTACTGAAATTTATAATTATTGTTGGTTGTTGAGCAAATCGCAATTTAATTTAATTTTCTCTGAGGATCAGTGTAGTGTTCTATGAACTTTAAATGTAGACAATAAATCGCGAATTCGTACGAAAAGAAAAAGTTGTTTCTTATCGGAATGGCAACAGAAGATATTCCGTTGATATTTTTTTGAATTAGTGGGTTAAATTTAAAATGGAACTGCGTAAACAGGTAATATTTTTGTATTCGTTTACAATAATAATTTTCAGCAATATTTTCGCATTCGCTTCATATAAGTTCAAATTAAAACTATGTTAAGGCTGCCAGAAATGGTAATTTTATTTGAAGAACCATTAGAAATGTTTTGGAAGAACCCTGCAAATTGTGGAAAGAAACATCTTAGTATGGAAGAACTACTAGCATGCGAAGAAATAAAGTAAAACATGATTTCTTCTGATTTATTCTGTTGTTTATATGAAGCAATAAAAACATTTAATATCAAAGAAATGAAAAACAATTATTTTGAAATTTATCTTGGAACAATTAAGATAAATGCGTTTGCTACGATAATTGAAAATAAAAGAGCTTTTTTTTTTAAAAGCTCAGTTCGATTCCGGTAATTTTTAGGTAACTGTTATAAAAGAACTTATTTTAAAATTTCATTTCGCTGATTTTAAGGTTAACTGATATAAAATAATATATTAAAAAACTTCTTTTTCTAAAACCGATTTAAAAGTTATAGTTTCAGAATGATATTAGCTTGTAGGTAGAGAAAATGAGGAAATTAGGGGTGTGGTGTCGCAACTGACGTTTTGAATAGAAATTATTCTTGAACTACATATGAAATTCATAAAATTTAATACATTGAAGTCATACGGTGCAACCGACGACGAATGGTGCGCGGAGAGATGAAATATTAAACTACAGAACTCCTGTTAATAATAAAACTATACTCAAAGTTGGCATCTTCGATTCATGAAAAGCTGCGTAGGGATCAAACACATAGGAGGCCTGCTTCGTAGGGAAATTTCTAAAAGAAACTGGCTCGCATTCATGTTATACACAGGGAAAACCTTTACATATTCAATTCGTTCACAGGGATCCGAACCTGGATAAAGTTACCAGCAGTCAGTGATCTTAACACTGTCGATCATAGGATATCACAAACTGGAAACCTAGAACTGTAGAAATTAATGATTAGTTGTTAGGAATAGTTTTTAGAATTAAAAAATATATCTTGGGGTTTTTGTTTATTTGAAGCCGACAAAACAAAGAGCACATCTACTTAAGGAAGGGATACTTTCGTACAGAATTTTAAAAGGAAAATTGACTCGCATTTATATAGAGATGGAGCTAGGCATATTGCTCCCCCCCCCGGTGTAATTGCTTCGGGTCTTAAATTTTACTTCCCGGTGGCTCTGTAAATTCTAAAAATTTTGCCCTCTCTAAATTTTGCTGTCCAGTGCATCCCTAAAATTAAAAAAAATTCTATGGTTCTATTCTTTTTTAAAAAGATGTCTATGGTGCTGTGTAAAAACTTTCAAATTCTAAAAGGACAGACTGCAGGCAATATAAGGGAAAATTCCATAAATATAAATAACCATTGTCTGAGACTTTGTTGTCTCTCTAATTTAGCTCTTAATTATAAAACGTCACGATTTACATACTTGCAATCATCTTAATTATAAGATTTCCTTTCGTTCAATGTTTTTTTCAAAATCTGAAATTGTATTCAGTTTAATAATCAGTTATATAATAAATGGTTTCACTGACTAACTGAAAAGAGATTTATAATAAAATATTATACTCACTCACTGAAAAGTCAATGGTATCCTTAAACTTCTTCCTAACTCTTAAAACTTAGTGTTATGACGAAGAAATTTAGATCCATAAGCAAAGAGAAACATTCTCTCTAATTTTCTGTCAAATGCCAAAACCATTATTTACCTGAAAAATGGTAAGTATAAGGAATATATTGCGTTATAATTAAAAAAAATTATGTTTAAAGGAATGCTATTCAATTAATTATTTATAGAAGTTATTTTTAAATGGCTATTGCTCGAAACAGTTTTAGTGATGTTTATAAATTATTAATTACTTGCTTGGTTCAAGAATTTAATTAGCAAACGTAAAAAAACTCATAAAAAGATTGTAATTCTGATAAGATTGTAATTATTTGGCTTTGCAATAAGGGTGTCGATATTTAATTCCTATGCTGGTTAAAATTTCTTAGTGAACTTAGAATTTATTATTAGTTTTAAATTTCAATTTAATTATTATTTTATGTTACAGCCAGTGGGGATTAATATCGTCAAGTACAAAGAGGTACGTATACACTCAGGTTTTGTTTTGATAAAAAGATTGTTTAAAATGTTTTTTCAAAACTCTTTCGGTACTTCAGGAACTGCGATAATTTGCTCCAAGTCTGTTAGGAGTTTGGTGCTAGTTTATACAACCAAAGAAGGACAAACTCTGTAATTTAATTCAGATTTTTGAAAATTTAATGTTGAAATGAATTTTCGTACACGAATTCGTTAATGAGACAAATTAAAATTTTTCGAATGTTACTATTTTTGGCATCGGTTCGCGTAGAAAAACCTTTTAAATAATGTGGATGTGAGATCTTAAATTAATTTCCGATTTTTGGCAAAATTGTTGAATTCGTTCGACCAATTGACATAAAAGGAGCTGTTGAAAGTAAAAGAGTGAATATTCATTGATGAAGAATTATTTTCAGATCATACAAGATAATTTATTGAAAAAAAATCTGAAAGTTTCAGATTTTAAATTACGTCCATAGGGGCATTTTTGTAACATTTTGTGTGCTACCTTTATTTATTAAATATCGTGTTCTTCGCACTTAAACCATAAATTTTAGTTCAATAGCAATGTCGCAAAATAATTTTAAAATGAGCCTATCTATAGAATTTCCGATACACAGTCCGCGCGCTGGAGATAAAAAGGTTTTTTCCCCCTGTGGATTGTTGGCATTACTCGCTTTCAAATCGTTGAGTTTGTTACTCAAAAGTTCGTTAAAGTTTTACAAAATATGAAATTGATAATAAAACAAATTCCAAATTTCAAATTTGGGCTTCCACATGCCCATATTCGCAGTAGGATTACGTCATTCAAAATTCGCTGGCTCTATGTACCGTTGCTTTATCATAATGCGAAAAAATATACATACATTTATGCAGATTATTTAATTTCTTCAAATATAATGCAGGACTCTAAAATTTAGTGGCAACAGTGTGAAAAGTGAAAAGGACATTTATGGTGATTCAATGCTAAATCGCAAAACGAAAGCAATAGTCCTTCAGGGACAAAGCCCCTTTGGACTAATAACGAGGGAAAAAAACAACAAATAAAAGAGTTTTATAAGTAAGCCTTTATATGAAGTTCATAAAATCATTTATGAACTAAAAGAAAAATAATATATACTTTAATGGAAAAAAGAAATATAATTATCGTTACAAAATTTATCATAAATTTTAGATCACGAATATAAAGGTGTGGGATCTTTAAAAACGAAATCAAGTAATCGTATTTGATTATGATAAGCCATTATCTTTATAAATTTATCAAGAATGCTCCACGAGTTTATTATTTATGACATAAAACAGTAGATGAATTTATAACGAGAATTACTAAACTATACGATAAATTACTTTCCTCCTCTTAGTTCGTTAATGAGTTTTAAACAAAAGCGTATTTTATAAAAACTTTTTATTTTCATTATCTTAGCATCTGTGAGCGTGGGAAAGAAAGGAAATACTATATGTAAAAAGTCCAAAAAGCTAGAACTGCGTTGTCCGTTAAGACAGTAACTGCGTTATTAAAAGGAGCATTGCAGTGAGTAATAAAACTACCACAGGTGGGTAATAAAAATGTATTTGGCAAACAACAATAAATAAACACAACTCAGAAACAGGTTCTATTCACGCAGTCGACATCAATATGAACTCAGAAAAGCGAAAAACAAAAACAGGTACATTTTTTCCGTTAAAATTTCCTGCCGGGGGGATGTGTTCTTTTTTTGTAGCGTGGAACAATAACAAACATCGAAGAGATGTAATCCTTTCTCAATTAATATAATAAGCTGGAGTGCGGAATGTCCTTGCTCTTAATTATAGAATACAGTATGGCTAAGTTTTAAAGCAGATGTTTATTGCAACGTACCTAATTTTCGTTAAAATGTACAGATGTCTTTGTAGTGTAGAATACGTGACTAATTTTTCATTAATTTTCTTGTTCTTCAAGCAAGTTAGATTTTGACCCTTAGACCACACCCCAGGGTGCTTTCCCTTAAAACTGGGGTGGAAATAGAAGTCATACCTCCATGGGGATCTGACAGCCATTTTCCCATAAAATATGAACTTAAAAACTTTAGCTGTAGATTGCAAGATATTTTAAAATTAAAAAACATATATATTCGGATTTTAATGAACATGTTTCTGTAGATGCAGTT